TTTTTTTTTTTTTTTTTACTTTATTTATTTTGAAAGAGAGAATTCCAAGAAGGCTTCACATTATCAGTGCAGAGCCCAATGTGGGACTCGAACCCACAATCTGTGAGATCATGACCTGAGCCGAAATCAAGACTTGGACCCTTAACTGAGCCACCCCAGCACCCCTTTAGCTTTTACTTTTCAAGTAACCTCTATACCCAATGTGGGGCTCGAACTTACAACCCCAAGATGAAGAGCTGCAGCTCCACCAACTGAGGCAGCCAGGTGCCCCATGAGATAGAGATTTGAACACAACAGTGCTATAGTTCAGTAATAAGTCAGTACATATTATTTTACGTTCATTGTTCTTAGGTTAGTAATTTTGTAAAAGCAGGGAACCTGATTACTTTTTATTTTCCTGCAATAAAAGAGCTAACTCATGCATATACATTTTGGATTCAAATACAAACATTTTTATTTAGGATTACTGAAACAAAAAGAATCAAACTACTGGAGAAATAATAATTTTTTTTTTATTTAAAAAAAATTTTTAATGTTTATTTATTGAGAGACAGAGCGTGAATGGGGCAGGGGCAGAGAGAGAGAGGGAGACACAGAATCCGAAGCAGGCTCTAGGCTCTGAGTCGTCAGCACAGAGCCTGACGCGGGCTCAAACTCACACACTGTGAGATCATGACCTGAGCCGAAGTCAGACGCTCAACCGACTGAGCCACCCAGGCACCCCAATAACAATTATTATTTTAAGGAAATTTCTATTTTTCTAAATTTTTACTTGTACACATTTCCAGTTGCTAAAAGCCAGTGTCAGTTATGTACTTTCTGATAACTAGGATCAGAAATGTGTATCAGAAGGCAGTGGGACATTAACAGTATCACCAATGGAATTTCCTACCTTTTTAAAATGTTTATCTTTGAGAGAGAGAGAGAGAGCGCGCACGCACAGGCAGGAGAGGGGCAGAGAGGGAGAGAGCGAGCGTGAGCAGGGAAGGGGCAGAGAGAAAGGGAGACACAGAATCCAAAGCAGGCTCCAGGCTCTGAGCTGTCAGCACAGAGCCCGATGCGGGGCTCCAGCTCCTGAGCCATGAAATCATGACCTGAGCCAAAGTCAGATGTTTAACTGCCTGAGCCACCCAGGCACCCCTGGAAATTTCTGAAGTTCACCCTAGTAAACCACCAGTCAGATAGCCTCTCTGAAAAATTTAATGATTCAAAATTAAGTTGAAGTACAATGGAGTCAGTAAAAGATGTAAAATTTTCCATTTCAAAGCATTAGTGGTACCTAACATTACCAGTGTCTGTATCTGTATCTCTATCTAGATAGATTCTAGTCTATGTTCTTGGTGACAGATCCTTTTTTTTTTTTTTTCATCAGACTCTTAGGCTTAAACTACCGGCATTCATCAGTTTTCTCGAATGGGAAACTTCTCCAGTGTCAGCACGTGCATGCAACCTCAGAAACACGGTCATCGCTTTCACACAGGACCTTGTTTTCAAAAGAAAGCTTTGGCTTTGCCCTCACGCATCTTCTGTTCCTTCTTCCCCACCCGCGTCCCCCCACCCCTGCCCCATGGATTTAATAGATCCATGTTACATATCGGGAAGCTGAGGCTGAGAGGACCAGTGAGATGACGTGATCAGAGTCATAAAACTATTTCTTTGACTTGTGTCTGTAACAGTCACGACAATGACAGATCACCCATTCCTCAAGGACAACGGGAGAGTTTTCCCTTGGAACTTGGGCAGGTATAATGTAGGGACGGTCTGAACACGGCTGACGGAAAATAATGGCGGAGGCAGTGTGGTCTGAAGGCACTGACAGTGCTGAGTGTTAAGAGCTTATCATCTATCAGCCCTGATCCCCGGGGATCCGGGCCCTCGAGAAAACCTCAGGCAAACTGCTGGTGTGAGCACTCGGCCTGCTTTCTTCATTCCTAGTTGGGGAGTAATCCATCTACGTGACCGCTTTTTAAGGCACCTGGAGTCTGGACACAAAAGTCTCCGTGTATTCGAAAGGCCGTTTTACTCACTGAATCAACATCTAACACGACTCCATGAAGCCCAAAGGTTTTCAGCATCCCTCGGATGGCGAACTTGGGCAGAGCAGTTCCCACAGTACTGCTGGCTACGTTGTTGCTGTCTGGAGAGCGGGTCACCACCGTGAGACCTGAGGAGGGCAGAGGAAGAAGTTTCTTCAGAAGCAAATACCATTGTCATCTTGGGATCCTGTATTTCAGGGCCTAAAACAGCGCTACAGCATCCAACAATACCTCGGTTTGGTTGCAACTGAAAAAGGGACAAAGCTCGGTCTGAAAAATTACACAACTAAATGCTGTAAGAGCTCTCATAATAAAAAGCAAAGAAGCCGACCAAAAAATCGGCAAAGGATTTGAATAAACCTTCCTCTAAGGAAAAGTGAAAGATACGCATGGAAAGATTTTCCATTAGAATTAGGGAAACAGAAGTCAGAGCCACAATGAGGTACCACTCCACATCCACTAGGATGGCTGTAATTAAAAAAAAAAAAAAAAAAGACAATAGTAAGTGTTGGCAAGATGTGAAGAGATTGGAACCCTTATACATTTCTGGTGGGAATGTAAAATGCTGCAATCACTTTGGAAAACCATCCAGAAGTCAAAAAGTTCAACTTATTCTATGACCCAGCAATCCCACTCCCACATATGTACCCAAGGAAAATGAAAACATAGGTCTGGAAAAAATACCAAAAAACCAAAAACAAAAAACCTGAACACCAAGGTTCACAGTAGCATTCATTACTCATAAAAGCCAAAAGTTAGAAACAACCCAGGTGTCCAACATCTGATGAATGATTTTAAAAAATGGGGTATTATCCATACAATGGAATATCATTTTGCCATAAAAAGGAATAAAGTACTAACACATGCTACAACATGGATGAATCTTGAACAACTGTGCTATATGAAAGAGGCCAGATACAAAAGACCACATGCTGTAGGACTCCATTTATAGGAAATGTCCAGAAGAGGTAAATCTAGAGAGACAGAAAGTAAATTAATGGGGCTCAGGGGAAGGAGACGTGGGAAATGGTGGAGGACAGGACTTCTTTCTGGAGGATGAAAATGTTGTGGGATTAGAGGTAATGGTTTGGTGGTTGTACAACTTTGTGAGTATATTAAAAACTGAATGCTGTAGAAGGGTGAGCTTTATGGTATGTGAATTATACCTAAAAAAGAGAAAAAAAGAAAAGCAAATATACACTTCTGCCCCTGTCCCTGATACTCTGATATTTTTATGAAAGGCTAATAATGAGTGGTTTCAATTTTTGTCTGTGCTTTTCTGGATTTTCATTTCCTCAAAATCTGCAACAGATGTTTAATCAAAGGAACAAACACATTCTGTTAAAATTCTAAAAAGCACAGGGCAACCACACATTCCTGGTTAATTAGCTCAGCAGCCACGATCTAACCAGGCCTACCTGGAACCCTCCACCCACGCCCCATCTCCCCCTCTGCATAAGTGCGCCATCTGACTGCACATGTCGGTGAGTTTGGGACATGTACAGGAGGCCAGCTGAGGCCGAGCGAAAACCCAGCTTCTCACTCCACACACAGTTTCATAGATGAAGTAAGAGGGAAAGCAAAACCTTTTCGAACTTTATCAATCGTGAACTTGTTTGCTTCGTCTTTAATGTCTTCGATGGTGGGAAGATACAGGTCTCTGGGGATGCCACCGTTCTCCTCGTACAGGAATTCGACCGTCTGCCGGGCAATGTCCACCATGCCTAAAAAATATTAACCACACTGGAAACTCTCCAAAGAGGACCCGGTCTTCAGATCAACCATGACACTGACTGATACCGAGAGAATCTCCCCAACACCGTCTGTGGGGGTACAGAGCCTTCTGAGGAAGGTGACTGTGCAGGGTCTAGCAAGTTTAAAACACTCACTGCCCTGCCTGTAGGAACCTCTCAAATCTCTCCCACAGAAGCACAAGCACGAGTGTGTAAAGATACAAGGACACCTCCTGCGGCACTGCTGGGAAATCCCAAAGTAGGAATAACAAGATCATTTATCAATACAGAGCGGTAAAAAGTGATCGGGCACAAAGGCTGCACGATGACCTAAGAACTAAGTACGGGACAAACGGACAGTAAGAAGGAAGTGAGGAAAAGGTTTCTTTCTTACTTTATTCATTTTTGTACTGTGTGTGATTTTTACTACAGCAAACACGTGTTGCTTACGAAAGAGTTACATCAGCTTCTACTCAGTACCGGAAGTCACCCTGTTCTTCCTTCCCAGAGGGAGAACACGTCATTATGTTCAGCACAAACAGCCACTATTAATTAATACACCCAGCCCACAAGTCTCCAAAGCCCTGGTGAGATGGCACCGCGGGGAGCACAGAGAGGCGGGTACAGTATCTCCGTCTGCTGTTGCCGCCGTAGCTCGCACGCGGCTCAGGAAGTGTGGGTACAGATACGGGTGTGGACACATCTGCCTTCGCACAAGGCTTATTTCCATCACACTCGCCTCCTACTCCTTTATTTGCCAGCCTTGCTGTAGGGAAAAGGCACAATTTTCTGAGCACAGTTGAGGAGGCTGCAATTAGAGAAGGATGCTGAGAGAAAGAATTGTCAGAAGAAGCCAGAAATGTGGCCTGATACTGGAAGATTGCGGAAAAATAATCTTGGCAACATTTTCCAAAGGGAAGGGGGAGAGAAGAAAAGAAATCCTCTGCTGTCTACTAAGCAGGAGTCCGGGAACACGGGGAGAATGCCGAGCTCAATCACGCTCGGTGCGGGGGTCGTTCCGCTAACCTTCCTTGGGGACCTGACAACAGGAGGCTGATGCACCGCACAGAGGTGGTCCTTCGGGGACCACGAGCCCCCCGCACCCCTCCTTTTCACTTCTGCCACTGCTACACTGAAGGAGGGTATGTTCAAAAGGTAAATCTTTTATGTTTGGATTGATATAGTTCATACGACTAGTCATGGCCACACGGATGGAACCCGAGAGAACACCTTGGCAGGATGCCGCCTCAGGAGCCAGAGGTACTTCTGGGGGAGCCATCAGTCTGCCTCTGGTCCAGGGGCCGCCTTTGGATGATCACATTTTCTGCTGTGCTGTCTAAACTTCCCCCTAACCGAACTGGGAGCGGAGAAGGAGGAGGCACACTCGGCCACAGACACCAGGGATGGCTCCGGCACCAAAGGGCGAAAGAAAAGGTATCCAAGTTGAAGCAGAACCTCGTCAAAATAAAGGCACAGCAACCAATGATCATACATAAGAGCTTTCCATTTGCATACTGTGAATTCTTTCCCCCTTTCTTACTCTCCCAACAGCAGGAAGTACCAGTCCCCCGGACAAACGGCGCTTCACGTTTTTCACGGTCAGCCTGCTGGTGGCGAGTTAGCTCCAGATCTCCGCTTAAACACCAGGTAGAGAAGCCACGCTGCATTGGGCTGCCCTACCTACACATGCTGGGGCCTCCTCATCTACCGCCCAGCCCTGACCACATGTCGTCTGCTGCTGCCCCCTGGGATATACGCGGTGAGAGAGGGGACCCTCTCCGTCTTGTTCCCAGAGGCTTTCTTGATTCCCCAGCCAGGGGCCCGATGCCTGGGAGTCGCTTGCTGAATGTGGGGATGGGTAAGTGATGAATTAATGGCTGAATAAAAGCCTCTAGAATAAAGCCCTCCCACCTCTGAATGGCTGCCCGCGTGCTCCCAGGTGGGCAGCGACGAAATCTGGCACCGAGCTGTCTGAGCAGAAGATGTGTTCTGCACTCTGGCAGAACACAAAAGGGCATTTCGCTCAGATGTTGAGGATGAATGGGGAAGAGAAACTCTCTTCTTATCTCTGGGATCGACTACATCGCATTACGTGGCTCATTTGCTTACCACTCCCAACAGCTTCTGTCTCACACAGAATAAAATCCACAGTCCTCACGCACCCAACGCTTGTCCCTGCCCCTCCCTCGTGCCCTCCTCTTCGGCCACACCTGCTGCCTGGCCTTTTTGCTGGTCCCCCAATCACCCAAGCTCACCCCCACTGAGCGTCTTTCCTAATGTTGCTCCCTCTGCCTGAAACTCTTGACAGAAGAGGAGAATACCATCTGCCCTGGAACTGGGTCGGCAGCAATCCCACCAGGTCACAGGAGGTATGGCTAAGGTTATGTTTAAATAAGATCTTAGCTTTGGGGATAGAAAGCATTAAGGAAATAAGTAAATAAAAACAAAGCCACAGCTGTACACATAACTGATTAGTCCTGGTGCCAATATGGGAAAAAAGAAATCACTGGAAATCTGGGACTCAGCATATAAAATGGCCAAAAAATAAAGGTCTTGGGTGGGGTGGGGGGGGTGGGGTGGATATCTTTATTGGGTCCTAGTCTCAGAACAAGTTAAAAGAGGAGCAAAGCTGCTCACATAGGACAAAAATGAAACTTCTTACATCCCCCCCCCCCCCCCCCCCCCCCCCCAGCCCCGGGCCTCCATGTTGGGGAGAAAAAGCAGGTACTTCACAAGACGAGGAAAACTGAAGAGAAATTAGCTACCTGTACTCAAGACTCACTGTCTGGGGTCAAGCTCTGCATTATTCTTTGCTGGATGAACTGTGCCAGCGGGAGAAAAATGCCCATTGCCCCCATCACGGCGGCATCTGGAACCATATGAACCGAATGCTTCCTATGTTCCGGATGCGGCTTTTGGAGGAGCTTTATCTGTATAAGGCAGTTAAGTCTCATACACAGATGAGGTGGTTACCGTCACTGGTTCCCTCTCAAAGGTGAGGAAAGCCCAGAAAGGTGAAGTAGCTTTCCTAAGGTCGTAGGGACAGTAAATGGCATAGCTGCGCCTGGAGAGCTGCCCACAGCATTTGGCCATCAACTTCCCGGTATGACCATTTCACTTCCATTTCAGCGGCCTATCGACGCCCCCACGTACAGAGTTACGTGGACAAGCAAAGAAAAGCCTGGCAAGGAAAGCCGGCGACCGCAGAGTTCAGTAAAGGCACGGGTAGAGGACCCGGTTAGGTCTGGCCTGACTTCAGGCGAGCCCCCCTTTCCTGATTTACATCTACTTTCATCTAAGCACGTCTCTTCAAGTCACGAGTGGCTCCCGAGGAAAGCGCAAAGCACCAGACCTAGTTGCAAGGCACCCTTTATCTGGTCCAGGCCCGACTTCCGCTCCGCCTCGTTGCGGAAGCGTCTTCGGATCGTAGGAAACACCTTGGTCTCCCAGGCTTTCACCAGCAGGGCGTAGTGGTCCTCCTGGAAGGAGAAGGCAAACGCATCAACAGAAGAGGAGTAGCTCAGGTGGGCGCCAGCCCCCTCCCGGACGCACAGCTCTCACCCCCTCTGAGGCCAGTCGCAGAAACACCCCCTCAGATGCCAGGGGAGAAAACAGCCGGACTGCATGCGGCAAGCCCTTCCCTTCCCTCTAAAGCCTAATGAGCATCACGCGATCCCCGACCTCACTGCGGCATCAAGGTACCTCATTTCTCCCACACCCAGAGGAGTCCTGGGCAAACGAGCCCAAAAGGCTTCGCTACCGATACGTGGTTTGCAAGGTGAATGCTCCAGAGCCACCGCTCAGACACAGGGACGCAGCGGGAAGTGTAACCGCTCCGGCCTTGTACCCTCACATCAAAATCGTTCCCGGCGGCCTGTCCTGGTCAAGGGCCACGGGCCTCGCACCTGTGGGACGTCGTCATCGTCCTCATCATCACTTTCATCATCCGCGATGGGAGGCGGGTGGGGGTCTGGGCCAGAGGTGATGAAATTCTCATAGCTGAGTTCTACTTTATAATGACAGGAAGTGTCACTATCGTATTCTGTAACAGAGCACAGTGACAGTGAATTCTGAGGAAGAGCAGGCTGGAAAAATCACGAACTTCTGCCCCTCAGACAAACCACAGTATCTTCATTTGCATGAAGGACTCCCAGCACTGGGGAGGGATTTCGAAACACAAAGCCAAGGAATAACAAATCATGCATCGTTATCCTGAATCCTAAGATCGTTTTTATGGGTATAATTCATTCAATTCGGAGAAGAATTTGGAAAGTTCTTCATCATGAGAAAGAAGTAAACAGCCTTAAAGCAGTTTGCAAACCCATATCCCAAGGGCCAGATACAGTCTGCAGATACCTTTAGTTCAGGAAGCTCGGTTTTATTTGATTATGAAGTTTTTCAAATAATCAGGAAAGGTTTTTAGTGCACATCTAATACCCACCACATAGATTCCACAATTAGTGTTTTCTTAGTCTTTGATGGCCTCAGTTTTAAAACAAAAGATAAAAGATTTCAAATAAAATTCTGAGGTTTTTTAATGTTTATTTTTGAGAGACAGAAAGAGAGAGGAAAGAGAGGAGGAGGGGCAGAGAGAGAGGGGGACAAAGGATCCAAAGTGGGCTTGTACCGATAGCAGAGAGCCAGACGCGGGGATCGAACTCAAACTGTGAGATCGTGACCTGAGTCAAAGTCAGACAACTAACCGAGCCACCCAGGCACCCCGAAAATTCTAGGGTTTTTAGCTGTCTTACAAAAGTGGACAATCTTTCAGGCTTGCGTTTCCGGGTGGCAATATTCTGCCAGCACGGAGTCATGGCAGGCTTCCCGTATGTGGGAATGTGCTTTCTAGTCTCCCATGCTGCTCCTGCTCCCCATTTTATGTCACTGGGCCCATCGCCCCATATGCGATGGGCACCAGAACTTGCCCAAGTGAGAATTTATGAATTAGCAGCATCTGTACTCCCAGGAAGCAGTGGGGCCCTGGGAGGAGACGGCTTACGTTGCTGAGCAGTGGCCACAGCAGCAATGCGGCACGGCGGCCCGTGAGTGCCAGGGTCTGATGCAATACTGGTGCCAGCGTCGTTGTCACTGTCAGATGCCATGGCAAAGGGCAGGGCCTCAAAGTTCGCGCTGATCTCTTCTGCCAGATCGGTGCACAGGTCTGCGGCGTTGCGGTGGGCCTGCCCTTCCGCGTAGGCGAATGGGCGGGAGCCAAAGTTAGCGCGAGTCTTGGTGTTCTGGGAACGAGGTCAAATAAAGGATTTGAAAGGAGCTAGCGTTGTTGACTTAGTTTATTTATTTAACACTCCAAGGTGAAGGTCATCAGAAGAATGGCCCCGGCTCTGGGAGAGCATGTGGGGCGAGGCAGAGGGGCCAGTGTGACCACGTGCACTGGAGCGGAGACCAAGCTCTGCCCAGGCCGGTGCGCCCGCCCTCCCACACCTCACTCTCCCACTCGTTGCTACTCAGACAGCGACCTTTCCTGTTCCCAGCACTCTTCCCTTCCGTCTGATGCCACCGCACAAGCTGCTCCCTTCACTGGGGACATTGTTTCCCTCCAACTTTGCCAAGTTAAGACCAGTTAATAGCCTAGACCTGGCTCAGGCATTGCTTCTTCAGGGTCACGTTTGCTCCCTAAGTCTACGATGTGCAATCGTACTGTGATGGTTAATTTAATCGTCAGCTTGACTGGCCGCGGGGTGCCAGACTCAACATTATTATGGGGGGTGTCTGGGAGGGTGCCTCTGGATGAGATCAGCAACTGAATGGTGGATTCCGTCAAGGAGATTGCCCTCCCCGGTGTGATGGAGCATGGTCCAAATTACTAAGGAGAACTTGCTTTCCTTCCCAGTAAGAGAACCTGCCTTCTTCTGAATGTGAACCACAGGCCACATCCCACCAGAGACGTCTTCGAGATACGGGGACAGGCGCTGCCCGCAGTATGTGAAGTACACCCGGCCCTTGGCTGGCTGCCCCGGAGGAGGTGGTGTCCCCTCGGTTCTCTCCCAGCCAATTCCTGCCACATCACCTATGGCAGAGAACAGGAAGGAAACATCTCATTTTCCCTTTTACTGATTATAAATAAAGGGTGATCAGGCCACACGATCTCGGACTAGCTTTGTTTATGCCATTAGTTACAACTGAAAAAGGCACGGAGTTACGTATTGTACTTAATATAAAGTAACACAACAGAAATAATTTTAAAAGGAGAAGTCAAAACTATTCAGAAGAAATACCTAGTGTCTAAATCAATTCCCACAATTACATATTAAATTCAGCTTTTATTTTCCTGGTAGCCAAGACAAAAAGGGAAAGCATTTGGTACGATTTTTTTTTTTTTTTTTTAACAGAGGAATGTAAGTTTTCTTCTACTGACACATAGAGAATTACTTATGGCATAAAGTGAATTTGTGAAAGATTTAGATATGGTCTTAAAAATATAAACAGACGCTTAACCTACTGAGCCACCCAGGCACCCAGTTGAGATTTTGTTGTAAAAAAGTGAATTCTCGATTCCTACCCAGACATATTTCTCTGAGAAGGTAGCATGTTTACATGAGGTCCAAGTCCAAAAGTTCTCAACAACTAAAATGGGACCCAACAAAACAAATGACAGTGACAAATACAAATCCTGACTATCTATGGCTCCCATGTTCTCCCCAAACCCTCCTTGGTGCTTAAAACACTTAAATACTCAGTTGAAATGTCAGAGGTCTGCTCCAGAAAGAGACAAGTAACTGCCCGGAAGTTCTCTCCAAGTAGTAACTTGACCATTCCCGAAAATGCTATGCCCCCTGGAAGGTGCAACAATCAGCTCCCCAAGTCAAGTGATGGCAAAATTACCCCCAGTCAGCTATACGAGGTTATCTGGTGGATGGAGTGATTTACTCTTCCCCATCTGAGCAGCCCAGACCATCGACCACGTACAGTGATTTGGGCTTCATTGACAGTAAGATGCACTGTCTGAAACTATGTAGCCAACACATCTGGGGCTTCTTTTTTCCAAGTGTTTGTTTATTTTTGAAAGGGTTGGGGGGAGGGAGGGAGAGACAGAGCACAAGCAGGGAAGGGCAGAGAGAGATGGAGACACAGAATCTGAAGCAGGCTCCAACCCATGAACCATGGATCGTGACTTGAGCCAAAGTAAGACGCTTAACTTACTGGGCCACCTTGATGCCCCTGTTTGGGGGGCTCCTAACGGCAAGAGGACAGTGCCTACATTTTGTTCCTCTGCTGGATCAGGCAGGATCGATCCCAATTCACCCACACAGAGCAAGTGACTTATATGGTGGCTAAAAAGAAGAGGAAAATCTTTTTTTTTTTTTTTTTTTTTTTTAATTGAATCGACTACGTAACTGAAACATCCGGGCAGGTTTGCCGAAGCGGGACCTGACGTTAGGCTCCCGAGAACAAAGTCTACAGCACGTTATCTACCGATAGTGCATTTTCCAAGTGCCTCAGGGCTAGTGGTAGAGCTCTCTCCTTTTTTATTTTTTTAGCCTATTTATCTGCACATCAATGAAAAGCTGACAAGAGACCAAACTTCAAACAGAAGCAAAACCTCAGGTGGTTCCAACGATGGACAGATGGACACGAATGAAAAGTGGATATGACTCCTGCCTCACCAGGTGGAGGCTTCTCAATGAAAACGGCCTCACGAAATGAGCGGTTGGGCACACACTAGCAGACAGCAATGACAAGTACTTGGCTTTCACTAACCAACTGCCCACTTCCAGTTGCTAAATTAATTTACTTTCAACCTATTTATTTTTTTTTTTTTTTAATTTTTTTTTTCAACGTTTATTTATTTTTGGGACAGAGAGAGACAGAGCATGAACGGGGGAGGGGCAGAGAGAGAGGGAGACACAGAATCGGAAACAGGCTCCAGGCTCTGAGCCATCAGCCCAGAGCCCGACGCGGGGCTCGAACTCACGGACCGCGAGATCGTGACCTGGCTGAAGTCGGACGCTTAACCGACTGCGCCACCCAGGCGCCCCACTTTCAACCTATTTAGACAAAACCAGGGAATAGCAGAAATACGCAGTGTAAAAAAAAAAAAAAAAAAAAAAAAAAAAAAAGGCTCCTGCTTCGCTCACCAGGAGAGAGAGTCACATCCAAGCGCACGCTCTTCCACTGCAATAAACTGGAGCCATTGTAGTGCACCGCTCGGCCGTTGCTAGGAAAGAGAGCAAAGGAAAGTCAAAGACAAGGCTCCCTGGCCAACACAGAGGCAGTTGAGTCACGAACGGGCCCAGGGGCTTCGGTGGAATCAGAGTAATTCAAAGAGAACTCCTAAGAGCTATTCTCTTTCCCTCAATTTGAATATACTTCCAACTGGTATTTTATACACTTTTGGAGACTGAGATTACAAGGATATTATTTCAGTATTAAACACCCACACCCACTATTTTTTTTTTTTAAGTAACAGCAATAGTAGCCACTTACTTATGGAAAAGACAAGTCCCCACTGGATTGGTCCAAGCCCCATCTCGTTTCTCTGCTTCTGTGGCAAAGCCAAAGGAAACTATTGGTCCCGTGTCGTCATCAGTATCTCCATAGGAAACAATTTCAATTTCCCAGTAAAAAGATGGGGCCTGAGGAAACACCAGAAGCAGGCAGGCAATCAGAGGGCTCAACTTGGGTTCCTGGAACTTGCTTTTTCTTTCAAATATGAAGGAAAGAGGCGAGAGACCGTGTGACTTCTCACCTGCACTGGCAGTGGTGAGGTGGCATAGATAAATGTGCCCCGGGGCAGACCGCCCCCAGCGCTGGGGTCAGCCAGGAAGGTGACAGAAGTCAGGCGTGATGAGAACATGCAGGCTCGGACAGGCGGGAACACTCTCGAGGGGCTCCAAGTGATCTCTTTGGGCTGTGACGGGGGAAAGCGTCTCATTCAATACAACTGCAAACACAAATCTTTGTACCCCCTCAAAGAAGAAAAGTTTTTATCTTAGTGGCATTATAACATAGGTACATCTTTTAAGAACGTAGCTTGTTTTTCCAAAGGAAAACTTCTCTTTATTTAAAAACAAAGGCAGTCTCCATTGCTATGCCCAGCACTGTTCTCTAGAAACCATCACTCTTGTAGCTCTTTAATGGTTCACTCTGAAACTTACCTCTCTTCTCCTTCTATGCTTATAATGCCATTTTTAATTCCCTTCAGGATATCGCTTCTGTGATGAAAAACGAGGTTTTCATTCCTACATCTCTCCTTCTCCTTCCACAGACGCGTGCAGGCCCTCACCCCTGCCCTGACTTCCTGCTTGTGCGATTACACACCAAGCTGCAGACCCATCAGTGGTCACAATTTTTATCCCTGTGATTTACTATTCAGCTCAAAGCCAAGAAGTAATATTACATTTGCTTTTTTTGAAAAAATTGTCTTTTTCTTTCATAACTTTTAATATATCTCATCCTAAACTTCATGCTACTCTGTTGACAAAAGCACATTTTTTTAACCTGTGAGTTTTGTTTTTATCCTAAGGAAAGGGCTGAAAGATGCATACAGTGATGAGCTCCAGTGTCATTCATCAAATCACTGTGGTGGAAACTAGAGACAATGCAGGGCAACAAGAAAAGCCTGCGTGGGGAAACTGAGGCACAAGTGTATGCTGGACTATGGAGTTACTGAGGGAGAAAAGTTAGATGGTAAGACAGCATGCGCAGCACAGGCCCGTGGTCATGAAAAAGTACAGGTGACACATCACGTGGCTATCGTGACAATGTTAACCAGATGTTGAGATTTCAGGGGACACTTTGTCTTCTATATGTTTCTAATTTTTTATTTTGAAATAATTTCAAATCTACAGAAAAATCACAACAGCAATTTTTGTACACTCTTACCTAGATGCACTGATTTTTCGAGATATAAATCACGTAACATACAATTCACCTGTTTAAAGTGTACATACGATTCAGTGGTTTCTAGTCTACTGGAGTTGAGCAACCATCACCGCCATCAACTTTTTAGTGTTTCTGTCCCCCTAAAGCCCCCAGCCACTAGCAGTCGCTCCTCGTGTACCCCTTTCCCCCACAGCCCCTGGCATCGCCCATCTGCTGTCTCTAGATCTGCCTGTTCTGGACACTTCATACACAGGACATCCCGTAGCACGTGGCCTTTTGTGGCTGGCTTCTTTGGCTTGGCATGATTTCAGGTTTCTTCCCATCGTGGCATGTGTTACTACTTCATTACTTTTCAAGGCTGAATAACATTCCATCGGATACACCCGATATGCATACACGATGAAGGCATCTTCGTTCATCAGGTGATAAACGTTTGGGTTGTTTCCACTTTGGGGCTATTACGAATAAGCTAAGAACATTCACAGAGGTATCAACTCTCAACACTTCACCACTTTTGCTTTTTAATCACCTCTCAGCCTCTCTCTACATACATATGCTTATTCCTCTGTAAGACAGACTATATAACTAAAGTTTTGAAAAAAGCTTTTCTTCTGTTATTGATACCTTAAGAAACTATTATACAAATGGAGTTCTGCTCCTTTGCCACCATCTTTCAATACTCAGGATGTCAAATCAATGTGCTCGGACATTCAAAGATGACAGCACGTCATCACGGAGTGCGTCCCTCCAAAGGGCTTTGTGAACGCTCGTTCTAAAGGTTACTAACGTGCCGGTCGGCATCCTTTAACGCGGTGCGCTGTGGCCTCGCTCGGCACGGGGCTCACCTGTCTCCGGTCGGCCTGCAGTGGAGGGGGTGGGGGCCGAGCGCAGTCCCGGTAGAGCATCCGCAGCCGTTCACACTGTACCTCCACAACTGCCAGTCGCTCTCCTGGAGGGGAATCCACCGCATACATGAAAATAAGTCCCACAACCCCCGAGAGAGTGCCAACCCTTCTGGAGTAGGGCTAAGGTGACAAGCGGCTTCTGAGATCACTCAAAATTCTTACAGAAGAGCAAATATCCTGAGACAGCTCTGTCTACCACACACAGCTCAGCAGCACAGCAATGTGGCCAAAGTGCACGTGCTCTGAAGTTGAGCTGCCTGGATCCAGAATCTGGCTTCATCACTCAGATATGTACCATCTCACTTCTGATAATGGGGGTTAACAATGGCACCTGTGCCTCACAAGGTTGTCACAAAGATGAAATGAAGTGACACAAGTGGAGCCTTTAGCCAAGTCCCCGGCTAAAGGGCCGGGAGAACACGCAATAAATGGAAGTTCTATTCCCGTCATTGAAATTATTTTTTAAAAAAAATCTAGTATCGGGGCACCTGGGTGGCTCAGCCGGTTAAGCGTCCAACTTCGGCTCAGGTCATGATCTCAGGGTTTGTGGGTTCGAGGCCCGCGTCGGGCTCGGTGCTGACAGCTCAGAGCCTGGAGCCTGCTTCCAATTCTGTGTCTCCCTCTCTCTCTGCCCCTCCCCCACTTGTGCTCTCTCTCTCTCTCTCTCTCTCTCTCTCTGCCTATCAAAAATAAATAAAAATGTAAAAAAAATAAAAATAAAAATAGAAAAAATAATAAAAAATCTAGTATCTGAGGCACCCGGGTGGCTCAGGTGGTTAAGCATCCAATGTCAGCTCAGGTCACGAGCTCACGGTTCACAAGTTCAAGCCCTGCATCTGGCTCTGCACTGATGGTGCAGAGGCTGCTTGGGATTCTCTCACTCTCCCTCCCCCACTAGCACGGTCTCTCAAAATCAATAAACTTAAAAAAATAGAAAATAAAAACCTAATATCTATTTAACATCTATGGGCAAGGCACAGTGCTGATGCTGGAGAATACAAAGATACATGAACCAAAGCTCCCATTCTGGGAGGACAGAGGAGATGTGTGCATGCATTTACACATACAAGAACGAACACGGTCCAAGGCCGCAGTATGTGATATGATCTAAGCACAAACACAGGCAGGGAGGAGGGGGTGATCACTTCATTCCAGGACCCAAGATGGCTTCATAAAGACAGCATTAAGTTCGGTCTTAGAAAAGACAGGGTTTCAATAAGCAGAGAAGGAAGGAAATTCCAGGTGGTCTGGCAATATGGGAAATGGTCGTGGAGAGTCAGGAGTCAGAGGTCTTAGGAGTACCTTGTTCGACACACAAAAATTAATGCGAAAATGGATCAAAGACCTGAAAAAACCTTACAGCTAAAACTGTAAAACTCTTAGAAGAAAATATTGGTGTAAATCTTCAACTTTGGATTAGGCCACGGCTTCTGAGATAGGACACCAAAAGCACAAGCAACAAAAGAAAAATGAGATAAAGTGGACTTCACTGAAATGAAAAACTTGTGTGTTTCAAAGGACACTACCGACGAAGTGAAAAGACAACCCACAGAATGGGAGAAAAGATTGAGGTTATTATATCTGATCAGGAACTAACAGAGCTAAAATTGTAAAGAACTCTTACAACTTAACAACAAAATGACAACCCACTTAAAATGGGCAAAGGATTCAAACAGACCACACCCACTAGGCGAACTCTAATCAAAAAGACAGGTAACACCAAAGTTGGTGAGGGTGTGGAGTAATTAGGACCCCCATACGATGCTGTTGGCAAAGGAAAATGGCACAGCCACTGTGGAAAACGATTCCTCAAAATAGAAAGCAGTTCCTCAAAAGTTAAATGCAGGATTACTATATCACCCAGCAATTCCACCCCTATATAGGCCCAAGGGAACTAAAAACATACATCCACATAAATTCTTGTATATACGTATTTACAGCAGCATTACTCATAATCGCCAAAAAGTACAAACACAAGTATTCGTAAATTCATCAATGAGGTCTATGCATAATGGAATGGGATTCAGCCATAAAAAGCAATGAACCTCTGAGATCTGCTACAACATGGATGAACCCTGAAAACATTATGCTAAGTGAAGGAAATTGGACCAAAAAAGGACAAATCTTGTACGATTCCACTGATGTGAAATACCCAGAAGATGTAAATCCATAGAGACAGAAGGTAGATTAGAGATTATCAGGAGCCGGGGGAGGGGAAAAGGGGAGTTACTGTTTCATTGGCAAAGAGTTTGTATGTGGGAGGATGAAAAAGTTCTGGAAATAGATAGTGATGAAGACACAGCTCTGTGAATACACTAACACTTCAAAATGGTAAATCGTATGGTATGTGATTTATACCTCATTAAAAAAAAAAAAAAAAAAAGAGGTCCTAGGAGAAATAAAAAGTAGTCCAGGGGCACCTGAGTGGCTCAGTCAGTCAAGCGTCCGACTTTAGCTCAGGTCATGATCTCACTGTTCGTGAGTTTGAGTCCCACATCAGGCTCACTGCTGTCAGCATGTGAGCACAGAGCCCGGTTCCCATCCTCTGTCCCCGCACCCCCCCTTTCTGCCGCTCACCCCCTTGCGCTCTTCCCCCCTTAAAAAAAAGTAGTCCAATGGAAGTTAAAGCACAGAGGTTGTTTAGGATATTGGTGAGAAATTTATTGACTTATACCTCACGGACAGACACTTGGCACCTAATGCGACCCAATGACATGGATTAGAAGGCAACAGGAAAGAGGAGACAAAGACCAAACAGATTTAAAGTGGAGGAAGAAGCGAGGCCAGGCCATGGGGTGTGTGGCCCCTGTCCTTTCTTTACACCTGGAGTGGGACACACGTTCAGGCCTATGCTTCCCAGGGGACAAATCAAAGAGGAAACCATTCAGTTACAAGATTCATGAAGTCCGTTACGTATGTATACTAGTCATAAAGAGCCCAGCTAACTTTGATAAACACTTTCTGATTATTATTGCTCAAATTAAAAATTTATTCCAAGAAAATTTATATACAAAATACCAGATGATCCAGGGAGTGGCGTGGGCAACAATGTCCTTACAATAAAGCAGTAACCAGTGTCGGGCAGATATTTCAAGGATGATGGCTAGAATCCTATCAGGTAAGGGAAAAGCAATTCTTAGGGGGAAGAATGGCAACTACCTGGCGGGGGTGAGGCACATCTACCATAAGATGGGCTTAACACGAGAGGAGTTTTTACGCTATCTACTGTGAGAATAAAAAGTTTCTACACTTCATATTCAGGAAAGGCAAGACTGACTGTACTACAGCCAGAGTAACAAGTAACAGCCAGAACTGGCTGTGAACTCATTCCAATCTGTAAATGACAACTTCACAGTGGTAACTATGCTCAGGAAAGCCAGCCTCTCGGTGACAGCTCCATGCTCTTGAGGGCCACTCAAAGCAGGCCTTCAGGAAGCTAAGTGTGACGTGGAAAGGCAAGATGCAAGCAGCAAAAGTTGGGAGAATAACACACATGTCTAAACACAAGAGAAAAAGCACCTGGCTTGTGAAGCTGGTAATGGAAATGGGGAGGAAAGGGCTAAATCTCAGGAGCATTTCAAAGGAAGAATAGAACATGGCAACTGATTGGATATGGAAGGATAGGAAGGAGGGCTCTGTCATATTTGACTCCCTATCTGAGCCTCAAAAATAGTCTGAGTAAGACCTAAAACTGGGAAGTCAGAAAGGAGAGCTGACTCTAGAGGAAATAATGACTGGTTTTAAATGTGGGGTATTCATGAGGCTGGGGGTCCCTCCAAGAGAAAGAGCTGAGAGGCCTGGATAGCAAGGGAGGGAATGCCCACAAGCAGAAGCCACAAAATTGAAGGTGGGTCAGGCAAAGCTTAGAGCAGGTCGGGGGCCCCTCCCATCACAACTGCCCAGGGTCAACCTTCAACTGATGATTCTGACTTTTGGGTGGAGCTTGGAAAGCATTTTAAACCTGCTTCCCAGGGATTCGTATGAGGTTTCAGAGTCTGAGGGGAACCTCTGGCTCAGGGAATGTGTAGATTTAACAAGGTAGGGAGAAGGAAACACACCTGAACCTGAGAAGTTCTGGCTTCTGCAAGAATAAAAGGTGGGAATTTAGGGGTTTCTATATGCTTTTTCTTCAGTATCAATAGGTTTCCTATGTTATTTCAACCAAGGGATCCAGTTAACTTCATAGAAATAGTTCTTCATGGGAAAAAGCTCTGTAGCATAGTGCTATCTGAGACCAAATGGAATTAGGTATTCTTTTCCTTGGATTAGAGAAGCTATAAAATTGAGATGGGGTAAGTCAACATGACAATGGCCAAATCTTCTGCTTCATTCCAGATGAAGTAAAATACTGGAAGAAATTCATTGAAAAAAAATTTTTTTTCATTTGAAAGATTCAGATAGTGTGTATAAATTTCACATGACATTTTCATACACAAAATAAAAAATCTTGATACGTTAAAAAATAAAAATTGAAGAATTCTTTCCCTTCTACCCACCATCTTGAATCATTTATTAAACAGCATTTGTTGTAAGGACAATCTAAGACTCTCTTGTGGGCTAGAAGAATCCACTGTAACCCAGATGTAATCTAAACTACAATCCAAAGTAACCCAGATGCAGGGTAGGTTTGTTGACTATTCAAGGGTAAAGGACTGAGAAGCCAGCAAACTTTCATATGTACTTTAAACCTCAGAGCTCTTTCTGGTAACCTAATAAATGAATTATTAAGTACAATTATATTTGACATAAGACACCATTTTCGGATATAAATTGATGTGTATAAGCTCACAGTCGTCTATTTGTGGCAATAAGTACTTCCTACCTATTTCTATCCAACTCTTTGTGACAACAGAGTTCTTTTCCATTAGGGAAAATGGGTTAGGTGGGTGAGTGTTAAAACCATTTGAGACCACTGCTCCAAATTACGACAACTCTTAGCTTATACATTAAGTACTGAAGTTAATCTCACAGATCAAAACTCCCTTATTCTATAAAATGTATAAAAGGATACTCAGAGAGTCCTACAGAAAAGTGACTGATTTATTCAGCAAGTATATGCTTGCTGAAAAATCACTAATGTATGTCTTACGATGCAACCTAGGCTAGAATATTAAAAAGCAGAGGCAGGGAACTAAGGCCCAACCACAAGTACAAAGCCAAGTTACGGGCAAACATTTGGTCACAAGCAATTTCCCCTAAGAAGCCTAGCAAATCCCTTTCCTTCTGTCCTTATTCTTATGCTCGGGGTCTCTCTGAGGTTTATTAACTGGCTCCACAGCACTATCCTTAAAAAAGGAGGAAACTTTGAAGAGTAAAACACATACAGAATAAAGAGAGCAGAGACCAACCCACAGAAATTGGTGCCACGTGAAAAAAAACAAAAATGTAAGGACAGTAAAGAGATTAGGGAGTGTCTGAAAAAGCAACAGAGAAATGAGAAATAGTAGATAATACGGATAATAAAAATGACTCACAGACATGAAGGATAAAACCAAAGCCATTATGGAAGTTAAAGGTGCTCATTTATTAGTTACAGTTCATGAAAAGGCCAGCTCTAGAGCACTGGAGGACGCTAATCTAACTGGGAACAATTTCATGCAGAGTCCAATTATACCCTTGGGGACAAACCACACATCTTCCCTTAAAAACACCCAGGCCAACTACCCATTTACAAGACCGGTGAAGACAAGAGGACACATTAAATGACACCACACAGATACAATCCACAGAATCCGGAATGTGGGAAACCTTTCAAAAAAATAAATTGCAAGGCAAAAAAGAACATGATGAGGGGACTCTAGATTTTGAAAGGAAATTCAAAGACATAGCAGCAATGAAGTTACAATGTAAGAATTTTATGTGGATCCTGATGCAAACAAATACAGAAACAAGTATGACTTTATGAGAAAATTAGAAACTGGAATGCTGACCAGATACCAATATTAAATAACTACTGTTAATTTTTCAGATGTGATAATGGTATTGTGGTTATTTTTTTAAGGGTCATTTTTTAGGGGTGCCTGGATGGCTCAGTCGGTTAAGCGTCTGAACCTTGGTTTTGGCTCAGGTGATGATCTCAAGGTTCATGAGACTGAGCCCCGCAACAGGCTCCATGCTAGCATGATGACAGTGTGAAGCCCGCTTGGGATTCTCTCTCTCTCTCGCTCTCTGACTCTCCCCCACTTGTGCTTGCTTGCTCTCTCA